GACATTTTGGTAAGGCGATAAAGGTTACTAGCTAGGACTATAGCAGTGTACATGGTTAAAGTCAAGAGTGTGTGCAATGCCATTTTTGTGCAATTCTGGGATGCTTTTTTAAGTGAAAATAGGTCGACGTGTACATGATAGGTCGACGTGGATGATACCGTGTATGTGCAATTCTTAAAAACGCGGAAAACAGTGGACGATTCTGCACTTTCTTCCAATTTCGCACCTAATATTCGTCATGATTAAGCACTTTTGTTCCATAAAAGTTCTAGCATGAGCGTAATTCGGCTAGCAGATTGTTGGAAAAAAATGTTGAGTTTAAAAAAAAAGGCCTTTACTTCTGAAAACAAAATGAAGTTCAAAAAAAAAAAACTAGCAGGTTGCTGTAGCAGGGTTGGTCGCCAAATTTTCGCCAAAAAATTGCCAAGTTACCATAATACAAAGATTAACCGCACAATCTTACTCTCAGAGTCGTAGCTAGCGTTTTCAGCGCCCAGGGACAATTGAAGATTTCGCGCCCCCTACTGCTTGCCAAGGATGGAAAACATTTAATTCTAAAATGTCGTAATATCAGTTTGGCGCCCCTTGGATTCTGCGCCCAGGGACAGATGCCCCCCCTTGCCCCCTCTAGCTACGCCCCTGCTTACTCTCCTTGCTACTATGAATTTCATGGGCTTGTTCTGATGTTATTGTCAGACAAGTGAGATAAGGTTTGATCTTTACAATATGGTAACTGGTAGTTTGGCGACATTTTGGAGGCGATAAAGGTTACTACCTGGGACTTTGGTAATAATGTGAGCAGTACTCAGTTCCGATTACACATTATTTTGTGTGAGGGAAATGAGAGATCATGGGATATGTCATGTGATATTAATGGACGAATTACGGTTCTTTAATCAGAAAAGGGGGAAATCGGGAAAAAATCTGGAAGTTTTGTATTTGGCTTTATTCTGTGTTGTGTGAAACAGTGTTCGTGAATTTTTGGATGCCATGGCCGTAACTAAAGTGAATTCGAAATGGGTATTTATGTATGTATTAATTTAATGTATGTGCTCATTTATATTTTAAGTAGCGTTTTTGAATTTAATTATATTTTAATTAAATGATAGTTATTTTGTGAATTTTATGTTTGTAGGAATTTGGTATACGTTTTAGTTGAAGTAAACGTGCATGGAAATAATTTAAATATCTGACACTAAGTATTTGTAATGGTTGCGGTATGAATTCGTTGGTGATGTGTATAATGTAATAGATGATTTAGAGGTAAAAGTTTTTGGATATTTTATTTATTTTATATGTGGAAATGTTCATATTTGGAAAGGGTAAATACTTTTTCGCGATCAGGTAATTTCATATATGTTCTTTTTACCGGGTTTAAAGATTGAGAAAATTGTCATGTATTTTCGTGAAATTTTTCTAATTTATGAGAAAAAAGCAGTGTACATGGATATAGTGAAGAGTGTGCGCAATGCCATTTTTGTGCAATTCTGGGATGTTTTTTTAAGTAAAAATAAGTCGACGTGTACATGGTTTAGTGATATTTTAATTAAATGATAGTTATTTTGTGAATTTTATGTTTGTAGGAATTTGGTACACGTTTACGTTGAAGTAAACGTGCATGGAAATAATTTAAATTTTTGATACTAAGTATTTGTAATGCTTGCGGTATGAATTCGTTGGTGACGTGTATAATGTAATAGATGATATAGAGGTTTTTGGATGTTTTATTTATTTTATATGTGGAAATGTACATATTTGGAAAGGGTAAATACTTTTTCGCGATCAGGTAATTTCATATATGTTCTTTTTACCGGGTTTAAAGATTGAGAAAATTGTCATGTATTTTCGTGAAATTTTCCTAATTTATGAGAAAAAAGCAGTGTACATGGATATAGTGAAGAGTGTGAGGAATGCCATTTTTGTGCAATTCTGGAATGTTTTTTTAAGTAAAAATAAGTCGGCGTGTACATGGTTTATGTGTATGTGTTATTTTGAAAAACGCGTAAGGAGTATGGTATTGTGCACTTTCCCAATTTTGCAGTGAATATTTGTCATGATTAAGCAGTTTTGTTAGATAAAATTTCTAGCATAAGTGTAATTCGGCTAGTAGATTGTTGGAAGAAGTGTTCAGTATCTACTGAACACTTCTTCCATGAAACATGTCTTTACTTCATGAAGACAAAATGGCGGCGGGAAAAAAAAATAGAGGGTTGCTGTAGGAGAGTTGGTCGCCAAATTTTCGCAAAAAAAAACGCCAAGTTACCATAATGTAAAGATCAACTGAGATAAGTCACAACTACAGCATTTGCTTCAACTAAGCATAAAAGCAAAGTTCTTCCTTTTAATTACCAGCACTATATTTAGAGATGACTAGCCTTGTATGGTGAAATCTACTTATAAGGTCAAAGCTGGATAAATGGTAAAGTGATCTTAAAAACTGGATAACTAAGAAAAGACTTGCACAACAACACAGAAGCAAACAGAACAAAATTAATATTTAAAAATAAATATTAATATCTTATTTATAATTCTCATTTTCCAATGAAGTTTAATACAATAATGTAATTAAAATTTAAATAAATAATAACATCACATAATTATTTAGATACCTTTATTTATGCATTATATGATACAAAAATTGAATTAAAATGAAACAGTTAAAGGACACTATTTACAGTTTTACTGACAGGAAAATTTTCTAAAAAATATTGAAACTCATAACAGAAATAAACTGACCTCAAAAGTGGAATAACTTATTAAAAGATACTGAGTTTCAGTTGGTTTAGTTAACTACGGCAAAACATACAGGGCTATTTTCAAAAGGGAAGGAATGCCTTAGTGGAGGACTTTCTAAGGGAAACCAGCTCATATACACATAACATATGGGGAAAAACCCCAAAACGCCCATGCAGCCAGCCCGTAAAAAATTCTTAGAGAATCAATCTTGTAGGTAATTCATCTAAAAACTGAAATTATAAAGATCTGGACAGAACTTTAAAAGTGTGCCACTAAAAGAAAAATGACCCTGTATCCAGGTGTCCTTATAAATGAGGTCTATGTTGCATAACTTACAGAAAATAAATATCATATATTATTAACACTACCTGATATATACTTTTTTTTACATAAAACAGATTTCGAATTTTTTAACATTTATTTAGCCTATATTCACTCACTCAAGCCACATATAAAGCAAATTTTCCTTAGAAATCTGCTTGAAATATAATGTTAAAAACAGATTAAAATGCTAAATATTTAGGAAATAACAGCAATTTACTTCATAAAATTAATTTTATTTATTTATTATTAATGTATACATAGCTTCAGTTCCTCATAAATGTTTATAACTGTGTGCAGTTCTTCCCAATAAAAATACTGAAACTGCATTGTTTTTTGTACTGATATTTCACACTACAGACCTCACTAACATTTTACGAAGGGGAAAATTTTTTAGACCTTCAATATATTCATGTTTGGGTGCTTACATCGCTAGCTATTTTAATCTACAATCCTATATAGTTCATTTCCTATTATTTCTTACACACATAACGCTTATTTAGGATTGTGTATAGCAACACATATAGAAAATAATGCATGGCTTTCAATATAAAGCCTACGATTAGCCAGTTTATTTTTTTCCTTTAATACTTTCTTTCCTTCTGTTTTATAATTTTCATTCATATAATCAAATACCAAATTTCCTCAGGTAAGAAGTTACTGAAACAATAAAAAATACAAATATTTTGCACATACCTCAAAGTTATTACTTAACTGTTAATATTTCTTCAGATTATTACTGAATAATCTGTATAACATGAATATCTGTGTAACATAGAAAGTACTATTTTGATTGGGTAATTTCTAAAGCTGATTTCCGAACTATATTTTTCGATTATTCGATCTCAGCATAAGTTATTATTATGATTTGGACATGCATGTAATTCCTCTTTCTTTGATTGCGATTGATGAACCGAAGACTATGAATGAAAAATAAATAATTATATCATTAATATTTATCAATTTTCTGAGCTATATGTCTAAACGACTTCTTTCTTGTGCTATACTATGATTAAACTTAGCTGATCCTAACAAATTACTGAAAAAAGTCTAATTCTGCTAATTAAGAGTGTGTGTGTGTGTGTGATTATGGCAAAGCCTCGAGGGCTATCTGCCTAAGATGAGGGATGCCTTCGTGGAGGACTTTCTAAGGGAAACTGGCCCGTATACACGTTACACATGGGGAAAACCATGAAAACGCCCATGCAGCCAGCCCGTTCGCGGGATTCGAACCTCGGACCGAACTACCAGTGTTCAGCGACTTTACCGCTCGGCCGCTGGTGGGCCTTCTGCTAATTAAGAAGGAGTAGCTATTTATATACTAACAGAATGCAAAGGACTATTTCAAATAGTTTATTCTAAAACTTATACATTGTAAAAATCAGACACATTGCTTAGAATGTTAAATGGAAAATAAATTAATTTATAACTTAAATGCTTTTCGAACATTTTGAAGTAAATCAGTTTTAGTTGTGAAAACATGATAAACAGATACCAAAGCTTAAACAGATTGTTTTATTAACCAAGCATTCCTTATCAATATGAATCAGTTTTATAGGTAATTGAAAAATCATAAATTTGCATGTTTAAATCAATTGCATCAGTGTAGGTGCATTACATTAGCAAAATCAGATTGACATGCATTCTAATCACTATGGCTTATTAAGCATAATATTCATCATAATTACTCAAAGTAATATTTCTAGGCATATATACCACACAAAAAAGCTTTCTTTAAGCACTTAAAATTATTTGGAGCTCAGTTTTATTTTGATTTAGGATATAGAATTTTAAAGCTAATAATTTTTTATTTATTTCATAAAAACCAAAACATAAATAACGATAGTGAAATAATACACACGAATTTTACCAATACATACGACCAATGAAACGCACGTTCTGTAATTAAGCATTTTTAGTTTTTAAAAATTGAAACCACTCACCCCTTTTTAAAATCCAATAACAAAACTTAAAAGGTTAATTTCATTCGATCTCAGCATAACACATACAGTACACATTTTCTGCTCTTAAATTAAAATGCATACAAAAAAACAGATGCATGCATGCAAGATTTACATTATCCAGATTCTCCCACCTTGCTTACTCCACCAATGTTTGTACCTGATTGAATTTCGATTTGTGTGACATATTTTGAAGCGAGCACCGCGCAGGTAAAGATAGAACTCAGTTCGAATGGTTTGTCATTCAGAAGATTGATGATGAATACAAAATGCTCACTAGATAGCGCTAGTAAACGGAATACATTGACTTCAATAAAATCGAATCTTAAATTTGGATGCATTTCGTTTCATTAATACCAGAAAAGTTTTAAAACGCTTGAAATAATTTGGAATATCTGTATAACATAGAAAGTACTATTTTGATTGGGTAATTTCTAAAGCTGATTTCCGGACTATATTTTTGAAGTTATTATTATGATTTGGACATGCATGTAATTCCTCTTTCTTTGATTACGATTGATGAACCGAAGACTATGAATGAAAAATAAATAATTATATCATTAATATTTATCAATTTTCTGAGCTATATGTCTAAACGACTTCTTTCTTGTGCTATATGTCCAAACGACGATACAGTTCTTATAACAAAGCGAAATCTCTCATCACTGAATGAATAATTTCGATGATTTTTCGAATGAACTGACAGATCTCGAGACAAAATAAACACACATAGTGTCCTAGACGAACATCTAATAGAACTAAATTAGAGAGTGTACTAAAATCACCTATCTTGATCACTTGCTGTAACGTGTTGGAGAGCTATTTAATTACCTTTTAGATCTACGTCGAGTGACAGGCGGAAAAAAAATTGTAAAATACTATGAGGCAAATAAAGTTTAAATATTTCTCCTATTTCACAACTCCCAAACATTTTCATGTCCTCCAACACCACCAAAAAATTTAATACGTTACCGCAACCCCTAAAGCAGTTTAAAGAGAGAAAGAAAGAAAGAGAAAACAGAGTTGTATAATCAAATTATAATAATAAACAAAATGAAACACAGAAATAAGAAAATATTTCAAAAATTAACATTTCCATAAATTTTTCAAAAGAAAAATGAATGATTTTCCTTTTAATGAATAACAGTTTCAGTTTTTAAATCCTGACATTTTGTTTCTAGTAGAAATTACATACCTGCTTGTGCATCCAAGCGATTTTCAGGTTTTCCTTTGATTGACAAAGAGAGTATTGAATTCAGACTCGCAAAAGTATGTCGTCGCAAATGAGATGAGCACAGTTAGACGTTTCTCTAAAATTTTGGAAATATATTATTCACTGGCGAATACAAATATTGGTCTAAAGTATTGCTTTCATAGTGTAGTTCAAGAACATAATTTCTTCACAGTTCTCAAAGATCGTCCACCAGTTCATCATCCGACACATTATCCAGATTGAAAGAGTAACCATTTTTTCCGAAGCAGTTTTCCGCTTCAATACGCATCAAATCAGTCCCGGATCTGGAGGGGGGGCAAGCCGGGATCTGTGCCCTGGGCGGCAACTTCTGAGGGAGGCAAATTCAAGAGCAACGCTGAACTGTATTTGGAATGATGTCAAATTTTGATGCAACCAGGGCTTAATTTCTAAGATTAGAAGTGCCGGAGCCCCATGGAAGAAAGTCAGCAAAGAGGAACAAGAGTAAATAAATAAATATTAAACTCATTAATAAGTTTAAAATTAAATAGTTAATTATTATTAAATTAATTAATAGCTATTTAATTAATGTTTATAAATTGTTATTTAAGCAATAATTATTAGATAATTAATTAATTATAATTTAATTGATAATTAATTAGATAATTATTAGATTATTTAATTGATAATTATTAGATTATTATTTATTGAATTATTAAAGTTTGAATTAATTAAATAATTAAAATTAAATAAAATTTAAGGAGATAAATTGAAATTTAATAAGTGGATTTTTTTAATATAATTTTATTTTTAAAATAAAATTTTCGGAATAAATTTCTACTGAAATTGTGATTCAATTACATAAAAGAAGTGCGGGCAGCCTTCTTATTCAGGACCTCCGGTACGTTCTGGCTAGAATTATGATTTCTTACAAAAACTAAGAAGCACTGGAGCCGATGTCCGGTGGGCTCCGATTTAAGCTGCTGATCATAGGGAGGGAAGTTCTTTGAATCATCACAAAAATTAAATATACTTAAAGTATAGCTGATGAAAAATTCTAGGGCGAAACAGAATTGAGGGTATGAGTGGGAGGAAACAAAAAATGAGGGGCAATCTTGGTGAGAGATACTGTTTTCTTTGACCACTGATATAATTATAGCTCTCTGCTGATATAATTATAGATATCAAGGAAATGTGTGTCAGGAATAAAATGAGACCTGAATCTGACTCTTAAGGATGAATGTAAAATTGCTGATTACGCTTCCCCCCCATTAGTGCATACTGTGGGAAGACGATGTATGAACCATTTTTTTCAGTATTCAGTTTATTGTACCCGCTGTCCTTAACGCACATTTAAGACCACAAATTTTCCTTCCTGCGAGGATAACTAACTGTAAGCATCGATAACAATACACTAGGTACGATACCATGGCGAGAAATGTACGCGCTCCTAAACAAACTCCCCCAAATTTATTGCCCTTCTGAAAGAGAAAGGTTTTCGCATGTGAGTGAGGGGACTTTACTTGAACGTCTCATGTTCTCATGAGTTCGTATTTCTAGGGAAATAGAGTATTTCAAGGTCTGCTTATTGTTAAACTAAAACATTACGAATTTCTAACTTCCTACCCCCTTGAAATTGTGGTTCAGTTTTATAAAAAGAAGTACCAGAGCTCATCTTATTTAGGGCTCCGGCACAATTTAAGCACTGAATGCAACATTAGTAGTTTTAAAGCCAGATTTAAAAAACCTCTTTTAAGAATATTTAATTAATTAGTCGAAACTTTTCAATGGAGCAAATAGTTTTAAAAGTAAGCTAAGTACAGCCGAACACGACTCTAAAGATCAGATCAGAGAGAGGACAATAGAGGGACTCCGGGCGTCACTGAAAAAGTCAAAGGACTCTGTTCCTCTGCCAACCCAACATGTAATTTTATTACAAAGGTACTCCCTAGATGGCTTGGTCTTTGGTCCCTGTAAGTGACGCATAGAGCAAAGAATCTATATATCTTTCCCTGCAACTTCTTTGCCTAGAGTCCTCTCTCCTGGTGGGAATATTCAAATGAAAAACAGAACGATTTCATAGAGGAGCCTTGTTTTTATACCAACGCCTTTTGCGAAATAAATGGAGAAGCATTGTAAATTGTAACACTTTCCTAACACCCAATACTAATTAACCTTGGACCAATGAAATAATTCAAATTAATGTACGTTGAGAATATACAACAGAAATGAAGTAAAGTATTTTGATTTTTTTGCAGCCAGCCAGCAACCTAGGTTTTAAAAATGGATTTATTATTTTTATACTTTTTAAATTTTTTTAGTTTTTTTAATCTGGAGGGTTTTTTGTTGTCTCATTTTTTTTAATACGCCTGCTTCTAGTATTCCTCACTATATTTAGCGAGACGCAATCATTTAGTTAACGCGCGCATCTGCGACGCGACCTTAATACTGTTGAATTTAATTACGTCAATTTTTAGCTTTTCTTACTAAGGCAAGTTATACTCTACATTATGTAGGGTGCAAGAAATCATGAGAGGGTCTAGGAAAAAACTCTCATGGGCAGAATATAGAAGCAGAGCAAAAGACAGGACCGAACAGAGAAAACTAATTGCAGCTAAAATGAAAAATGGCTTCACGGAAAAGACGAACCGTCAGACCCTGCCGCAACTTCCGATGGTGCAGAGATTCTAAACGATATTGATATTTCTTGCAATTTGCGTGACCAAAATGAAAAATCTTCATCTATCATCCTCAAACAGACTCCATTTCAGCAACTGAGAGAACAACGCTCTTCATAGACCCCAAACGAACATCTAGAGGACATGAAATTAGAAAATAATGTATTTTCTCATTTAGGTGAGTGTGGCCAGCAGAAATAAGACTTAAAATCTTTTGATTTGTCGGACCAGGCCAATCACAGAAAAAATGAACGATCCGCAACAATCTTTCTTAGCAGTCAAGCTGTATTATTAGCCGAAAAATACCCAGAAAACGTAGACCTTAGGTACAGTAAACGTGATGGAAGACATTTGACATCTTCATTGTGGCACAGAAAATTAGCAAATAATGAAAGGCTTAAAAGATCTTGGCTTATATATTCTAAAACTAAAAATGCAATTTTTGTACACCCTGTGAGATTTACCAGAAACATGCCACTGCCGTTACATCAGCATTGGGTACTGCAGGATTCACTAATTGGAAAAAAGCTTCAGAAACGTTAACTGAGAACGAAATATCTGAAATCCACAGAGAGTGCATGATTAAGTGGAAAATTCCACTACAACAAATGAAAGTGTGTCAAGGCATCGATCATGACATTAAGAGATTAATTCACACAGAGAAAGAAAAATGGAGAAAGATCCTACAGATGAGTATGGATGCTGTATTGTATCTTTCAACAAACTGCCTTTCTTTCCGTGGGTCTGATGAAATCCCTGGCAGTCTGCTCACAAAGTGTCCTCGGCCTAGTCAACGCAATTTTTTTAATTTAATGACTCTGCTAGCCAAACATAACTCTTAAGTACCAGTTAGAATACCTAAAGAAGGGACAAGTATCATATTTAACAAAGAGAATTCAAAATGAAATTACTGATGTAATGGCGAAAACAGTTCGCAATAGCATTTTAAATGATATTAAAGAAGCCATATTATACAATAATGTTCGATTGCTTTCCAGATGTGTCGCATACAGAACAAATGAGCCATGTGATTCAATACGTAAAAAATATGTGGTGATGTGTGTGAAATAAAGGAGAGCTTTATTATAGAAATTGGTGGCAAGACAGGAGAATGTATTTCTCAACAGATTGTGGGAAAACTGATACTTGATGGTTTGGATATTGACAATGTCGTGGTCAATCTGAGGATAACGGATCTAATACGGCCGGTACTTACCGTCCATACTAGATCTTGGAGTAATCCTTGGAGTACAAGCCAGGATTATAGAAATGAATAAGCTACCCGAATATGTGCGATGTTTGGCTCACTCTTTGAATCTTGTCTGTGTGCATTCTGCCTCGTCTTG